TGACATGTGCTGCAGATTTTGGAGCCATTCCCCACCTCCTGGAGGTGGTTTGGACCCTGCCAGCTCACCCCAGCAATGCAGCAAGGGCCTGCCCCAGCTCTGTGTGATCCTGCATGACTGCCCAGGCATTTCACAGGAGGTCAATAATTGTTGTGTGCTTCTCTATGTGACAGGAGGAAAAATATGTATTTTTTTATAGTACAGGTGTTTGATTTGTGGCTGGTCCTCAAGGCCAGCATGTCCAGTCCTTTGTGTTTAGAGGAAGATCCGTGAGTTTTGTTGTTGCTCTGTGTGTGCATATGCATATTTCTGGTTTGTTTTGCTGTGTCTTTGAGGTACCAAGCTTTGCCAGAGGAGGAATATGAGAATATGTTCTCAGTACAAAAAGAYAGCAAATCCTTCCGTGCTGGGGAGAAAATGAGTTGTCAGATAAACTGYAACTGTGAACATTTGCCATTCAGGGCTTGGTTGCACATGGTCCATCCATCTGTGTAGTATTTATAGGACTTGGTTGATAAAGAAATCGTACAATGAATAACTTTGCCTAAGAAGGGAGCGTTTTCTTATTGTCAGGAGGAAGTGCTCTGCACAATGCAATGAACACCTCTGACAGATRAATGCAAGCTCTTATTGTGTGCCTTTGACAACTGATTAGGGTTTTCTTTAACGTTCCCTACGAAGCCTCTCCCAAAGGAGCCTTCCAGCAGCACGGTGCCTCTGCAGGTGTGTGGCACCTGCACACTGTGTGCTCTTTCCTTAGTTTCTTGGTTTCTCGGTCACAGGACAGGTAAAATGGACAGTCCTGTGACAGCTGACCAGGTCTCTGAGCTTACAGGCGAMAGATGCAAGTGAAACATGTGAAGAGAGGCAGTCTGCAGTGTGTGCACTTACCTGGGGTCTGGCTGAACCAGCGAGGGTTGGACTTGCAAAAGCCTCTGAGAGTGTTAACARGTTCTCATTAAAATCCATTTGTCATTGCAGACAGCTGTGAAGTTCTTCCAAATTCTCTGTGTCTGTGCTAGGTACAGTGAGCAGCAGCAGCTGTTGTTGGRTCTGTAGCAGGTGACAGCAGCAATTTATTCCATGGTTTTCTCAGCAGATTGCAAAGTCTCTGCAGAAACTGAGCCTGCCCTCCTGAGATAGATGGGACTTTGAATTCAATCAGGCTCRGAGTACCTAAGCCCCAGACCCTCAATCACGGCAGATGTAGTGGCTAATACAMCAAAGAGCATATGTTGTGTCTGACAAACTTTAATAAAACACACTAAAGGTGGAGTTTGGAGAATTAAAATCTGTGCGTTCAACAGAGAGCRGAATTTGGGGCAGAATTCAAATTCTCTCATTACATAAAATGGCTCTGAGCTTAAAATGTGATTTTTGCATTAATATTATTTTTAGCWTCAATGGCAATCAGTATGTAATTGGCAGTGATCTCACACACGCTCCTGGGTACAGACTGTTCTTTCCCAGTTTCGGAGTATTTGCTTGTTATTGCTGAGCTGCAGCGTGCACACACTCAGAAGAGGCCCCACACTCATTAAAACTCTTCCTGCCAGGGTTCTTACCATTGAGTACTCAGCAGTTAACCTCTCCTTGTATCTTCAGAGAACCACATAAATTTAGGACACAACATTTCTGCTTGTGGAAATACTTTTCTTAGGCCTGTGTTCTGTGATAGATATCCACAGTGCTGTACTTCTTGGAAATAAGGTGCTGCAAAGTCTCCAGAGGTTTCTTCACAGCATCTTCCRGTACCTGAAACAGCTACAAGAGAGCTGGAGAGGGACTTTGTGCAAGGGGATGGAGTGATTGGATGAGAGGGAGTGGCTTTGAACTGACTGGGTCTGACTGTAGGATAGGCACAGGTGAAACGTGCTCTTGGGTGGCACATGTGTGATTTAATAGGGTAACCTCAAATGAGCTGGCTTTGGAAACAGTCTCTTCTGAACTGTGCCTAGAGATAATTGTTTTATTGCAAAGTCCAAAATGGTGCTTTCAATGGCAGTGTTGGGTGTTGGTTTGAAAATACTGCTTTCATCTTTGGTGGTGGACACATAAGAGCTATGTTAATAGGCTTATGCGTCTTGTTTGGTCCTGGAGTAGCCTTCCATTTTTTCAGTCATTTGCAAGCACAGAGATAAGAAGGTGCTGCTAACAAATAGCTAGATAAAAGCTGAAAAAAGTGATGATTCAGACAGTGAACCTGCTGACGTATGCGCTGTGGTACTGTCGGAACTGGGATTGCCTGGTTTCAAGATCATCTTTCTGTGAGATGACTCTGCCCTGTYTTGAATGTCTTAGACATCCATGACAAATAAAATCTGCAATTAATCCAGCAATGTAATAATAAAGTATTGCAGAGCAAGTGAAACCCATCTTCTGTAGCCAGCTGAAAACCTGATGTGCTGCTTTTGCTTGTACCCCTGAACTTCACAAATGAACACAACTTATTGTCAGCAGCTGCTGCTGCTCTAAGCTCAGAGTGCTGARTTTCATTTCCTCTGCACTGCAAACGTGTACACTCTGCTCTCACGTATGGAGCCTATCTTGAAATCATTGTACTGTAAAAACCCCGCTTGGCTTTGGTGAAAGCAGTCGAGAGGGAAATGCAGATCAAAGGTGGGTGGAGATTTCTGGTTTTGTGGCATTTAACACTTGCACCAACAGGTGTGAGATTGCGTGAGGCTGCTTTGACTTTCCAACTGGGCTATGTCCTTATGTTTCAATGTGTATCTATAGCTCTTGATTTCACAGTTGGTGTACAGACCCTGCTTTATTTTTAGTCCCCACTCCTCCCCAAGAGATGTCCCTGCAGAGCTGGGTGTCCTGCATGGKGGGAGTTTTTGTGGCATTCACCGTCCCTGCAGGCAGGGAAGAGTTGTGGCCCAGCTTAATTTTATGTCTGCCTTGGAAGCATTTAGAATTCATTTGTTTTTTCAGATTCCAGCATGTAAATTTGGAAAAGCATATCCCACAGAGGGCAAAGCACTCAAAGGAGGAAAGGAGTTTAAAGAGGTGAACCATACACCAGTGAATCTGCTGTTTGCTTTGCTTTTTCCTCCTTGTTTTCTCTTTGGTTTTCAAAGACCAGCAAAGCTGGGGAAGGGGCTGGAGCACAAACCCTATGAGGAGTGGCTGAGGGAGCTGGGATTCTTTAGGCTGGAGAAAAGGAGGCTCAGGGGAGACCTTCTGGCTCTCTAAAAAACTCTGAAAGGAGGCTGTAGCCAGGTTGGCATTGCTCTTGTCTCCCAGGTAACAAGTGACAGGACAAGAGGAAATTGCCTCAAGTTGTGTCAGGGAAGCTTTAGAGTGGRTATTAGGAAAAAATTATTCATGGGAAGCGTTGTCAAGCATTGGAACAGGCTACCCAGGGAAGGGGTGGAGKCACCWTCCCRGGAGGGATTTAAAAGCTGTGTAGATGTGGCACTAGAAGATGTGATTTAGTGRTGGATTTGGCAGTGCTGGAATRATGGTTAGATTTCATGATCCTAAATACTTAAATGAACCTGTGTTTCTCTGTAAATGCTACTTTTGTTTTCCTTAAAGAAGTAAGGCTCAGAAAGTAAATTGATTTTATGCTTGCTCTTAAACATTAGAATTTTACTTTTTAAAAAATATTCCTCCCCAAACTAGAAATATTTTGTTTGTTTGAGAAGTGTTTGGATTTTGGTTTGTGAGTTGTCATCTGCTGTTGATTTGGGGTTTTTTTAAACTCCTTTGCATTCCTCTGTGTCAGACAGCTAAAGCTGGTTGCAAACTGGACATTTTCATGGAGAGAGAATCACTTTATTCACTCATTAAACAACTTCTCCTAATGAATAAACTATTCAAACATTTCTCATTGCTGAGCTGCAGAGGTCAAACTGATACTGACTCCCTGCATGGCCTGGGATAAGTCATTATCTCCCTCTCCTTTCTGTGCAAGTCCTGACTGTTAAATAGTTCCTCCCAGAAGAGGTGTGAGARACAATTCATGCTGATAAAATGTTTTGAATACAAAATGTGGTTGATAGGTGCTAAAAGATGTTCCCATCAGTCATCATTAGTGATTCTGTCATTTCCCAGCCTCTGATTTTTGGTTAGGYCTTCCACAAGTGGAGAGGAAACAGGATGGACTCAAAAAGTCTATCAATATTTTCACTYCTGTCTTCAGATGTTTTAATAACATTTCATCACTGATTTTATCTGCTACTGATGACTTTGGCAAACGGAGATGTTTCTGCATCCATGTCTTCAAAAAGTGTGTCCCCCACAAGTTGCCACAGTTGGAGCAAATGCAGCTCAACCTCACCCACCCCTGCTGCAGACAAAGATTTTACATGGTTTATTCCTTTTCCTTTATATGATAGATTTTGAATGTTGCAACATTGTGGGCTGTGTATTTATCTAAGAGCATTGAAGGAACATGATGCGTAAGAGCTGACACCTGAGCCTGACTCTGACCCTCCTGGAGAGGGTTCTAATATGTAGAAACTAAAAAAAAAAAAAAAAAAAAAAAAAAAAAAAAAATTAGGAGGGGTTTGATTTGTAGCAATGTAATTTCACTGAAAGAAAGCTCAAGCTGTAGTCAGGTGGTGCTTTCTGCAGAGCAAGGAGGCAGTTCTGGGATACCAAACTGTGATTGTTTCCACAAGGAGTGAAGGAAAGCATTAAAGCACCTGTTCTTGCTCCCTTGAAACCTGTGTCTGTTTTCTTATGGATATTTAATGGTGTCAGGGTGAAGTGTCTGGTTACTCACTGCTCACAAACCTGTGTAAAACATCCCTGCTCCATCTGAGATAAGGGTTGGACTCTGGCCCAGTGAARAGGAGGTGCCAGTGCAGGTGACTTGGGCACCTCAGAGGCCTCTCAGTCCATCTTTCTGCTATGAATCCTAACACAGGGATTTTYCACAGTATGTTGAATTGTGATTTAYCTATATTTTCATGTAAGAAATGCTTGTAATGCATTGGATGTGACTGTTTTAGTAAGATGAGTATAATTTTTCTCCCCATTTATAGGATGGCTATTTTTCCCACCGACCGAAAGAGAAAATGCGAACGGACAGCAATAATGAAAATTCAGTCCCCAAGGACTTTGAGACTATTGATAACAGTAACTTTGCTCCCAGGACTCAGAGGCAAAAACACCAGTCTGAGCTGGTGAAAAAACCCCTTAGCAAACAAAAGGAGCACTTGAGAAAGAAACTGGAAGAGGAGAAGATGAAGGAGAACTTGCTGCTGGGGAAGAACTCCAATGAGGTRGTGCAGTTCGTTGATCACCCTGGAAAAAACAGCAGCAACATCAACATTCTGAAGGACATTGACAGGTCTCCCAGTCAGAATCTTTTAAAAAAGCTTGAGAGCATCACCCCTGAGCTGAAATACGACCAGCCAGCCAAGTGTGAGGTGACGGGCAAAGAGGCCATCTCGGCCATGTCCCGCGCCAAATCTCAGCAGTGCCGCCAGGAGATCGCCGAYGTCTACTGCCAGCACAAGGTGGGGAAGCTGATGCCAGAGACAGTGACACGCTTCTGTGCCCTGGAGGGTAAGTGGGGACATGGAGAAGGACAAGTGTGTGTCTTGGGGGAAGGATTCTGTATCACTGGAATGGCCTCTGGATGGCAAAAATGGCTTTGTGGCAGGAATGTTTAATGGACTTAGTCTGCGTGAACAAGGGAGGCTTTGAGGATGTTTGAAACAGGGAATTACATGGATGTCACAAGATCCTTGGTGGATTCCTGTAGAATTCACTTCCACTAGATTTTTACTGCACGGTGTGATCTGGGTATTCAGCTGCTACTCCTGTTTCTTTTAGTTCTTAGTTTACAGACACAGAGAAGCACAGTGAAAATCTTGTTATGCTGTGCAAGAATCTTGTGCTTTTTGGTAATCAGGGAACAGCCACTGTGAATTTTGGAGCTTTATGCTTACCAATAAATGAATGGCATTGCTGTTATGGCAATGACTRTTTTTCTGTCACAGTGGAGTCCTAAGCATTTTGATAACACAGGTAATTATGAGAAGTATAGTAAAAAARATTCCAAAAGGACAAGGAAAATCCAATTTTGTGGCTGACTTCTATTTTAAATGTTCTTGAATCAGCAAAAGTTATTTTCAAAATCACTGCTGGAGAGTCAGTTACTTCTGCTGGCCTAAGCCAAGCTTTGATTTGTTGTTTTGGTTTCTCCATGCCGTCAGATCACGAGTTACCTCTCAGCTTGCTGTCAGTKTGCATGTCCGAGCTGACCTTTTTCTACTTTTCGAAGAGTGCTTCATGTGCCACCTTTCATCCAGCTGTAAGCTCTCCATAAAGTGCCTTTAAAAACAAAAGTAGCATTGATCAGTTGATCAGAGTGGGTATTGATCAAGGAGCAGCATTACCCACCACAGCATTTGTTTATACAACAGTCCAGAGTCCCCCCCTGTAATTGATGCTCCAGCCCAAGCACAGAAGGATGTGCCATGTTTTTATCCAAGCTGAAAGTGCAGAGGGAATTTATAAACTAGAGAATAGGTCTTGCTTTAAGATTGTAGGATAATCATGGTGATCCATGGGAACAGAGGATGTTTAGGTCCTTTCATTGGGAGCATCCTCTAATGGCTTGTTCACTGCACCATCACAAAGCAGTGGTTACTGTAGGGTGATTTCAGTGTGGCAAAGAGGAGGATTGTGTTGCTGTCACAGAGATTAGGAGGTTAAATTCCCTGTACAGATGGTGGAAAAGAGGAGCTGTCCCACAGAATGTTTCCAGAAAACCACATCTCCCTGTAATGAGATTCTTAGGCTCTTAATTTAGATGGTGCAAATTACCAGGATGAATGGTGTGAGCTCCCCCATTCCCCACCCCAGTGCATCTGTGACTGTTTTGTTTTGGTTTCTTACCATGTCTTTTGGTGTTTTTTCTCCCTTTCCWTAAAAACAGGTTTCTCAAGAAATATTTATTGTTTCTTTTTTAAATATGATTTAAAAATTTATTATATGATTATATATTATATTATATATGAAAAATTATTATATGATTTATCTCTTATGCCCTGCAGTCAGGATAATAGTCTGGTSTTAGAACCAAGAGCAGTGTCGCATTTTACACTTGAAGCCTTTCAGCATGTATGTACATAGCATGTTGGTATAAATGCTTCCATTGTAATGTCATAGTAAAATGCTCAGGAAAACTGGGAGCTACAAATATGACTAGAAAAATGAAGAAGGTGTTCAAACATTATTAATTTAGAAAAAACTTACGTGGTATGGTTATATACCACATTAAAAAATTAAGTGTAAAAAGACTTAAAATTTTTAGGTTTGCTGAGCAGAGTTTCATTTAGTTTTTTATTTTAGSTGGTGATGCTTGTTTAAAAAGAATAATTGAGAGACAACTTAGCCAGATGGATACATGTGGAAAATGTTGACTTTTCTTTGCCTSGAGGTTGTTTCCTCCTGCCCATGCTGACAGCTGAAGTTAACCACTTCAGCTGCCAGATTTCCTTGGCAGAAAGTCKGGACAGCCTGTGTTCCATCCGAGGTTGCTCTGGAGCAGATTTGGGAGCTCTGCTGTGGGGAAGTGGCAATGCAGCAGTGTATGGAATGGGACACGAGTTGCTAATGCAGGAGGCACCAGTGCACAAACAGATTGGGATATCAGACTAACAGAGAACCATGTTTTGGAGTCATATCCCAAAAGTCTGAATGCAGAACTGTCATGACAGGGTCAGGGGGAACCCCAAAAGTGCTCAGTGCCTGCTGGAAGGCATTATTTGTATATAATTTGATAGGCCCCTTGATTTTTATAGCCCTGTTAAAGATACATTGTCTRAGTTTGTGTTGTGGTCCCATGTCTCTCCTCCCACTTGTAGAACATAAATACTGCTGCTCTTCACTCACAGAGTGACTCCATCCCTCATGAAAGGTGACTTCATCAACTCTGGAGCTCCTTCAGARGAGTTGAGCTTGATTAGGGAATGTTTGTGAAGCACTGGACATCAGTTTTTGAGGCTGTAAGACACTCTTCTGTTGTGATGGTTGGTAGGGGGACGTGTGGGTAGAGGCCTTGGCACTTTATGCATTAAAAAAGTGCTGTGGTGTTTGTCAGACATCGGGGGTCTGAGTCTGTTCAGCATGTGAGTGTTGCTCCCTTCAGTTTGGTTTGAACAAAGGTTTCCTGTCTGTTTTCAGCAAAACTGTGAAGTATAAATATTTATGCGTTGGAGCAGCACATTCATCCATTATCCCAGCATATAAACGTGTTCCCAGTGCTGTGGTTTCCATTGAGATGTCATCCARCATTTAATCCCCTTGGATCTTGTCTCAGCTGATCAAAACCATGACGTTGCTAAGTGTAGCCATCAATCATGGTCAGGACTCCATCCAGCTGGATTGTCATAAATGTTAAGTGATACATTCACTTCAGTGGTGATCAACGAGAACAGGATCATGCAAGCTGCTTCTTCTTTAAGTATTTTATTATTTCCAAAGGCAACAGRCAAAGGAAGTTGATTATAAAGATCTTCAGTGTTTAAAAGAAAGKGTTTTTAAAACCAAGAGCATGATATCTTTGTGAGGGGCAGGTGTTATTTCCATAGGGCTGCAGTCGTGGCTGAGATCAGGGCAATGGGCAGCTTGCAAGTCTCTTCACTCAGAAAGGAGTGGTTGGCCTTCATAGAAGTGTTTTGGGGAAAATGCATTTAGCATTTCAGTAAGAGGGGAAGAGTAGGTTCAGCACAAGGTTAGATGAGGAAATGGCCAGTCCAGTCCTGTGCAGGTTGAGAAGGTGCAGGGAGACATCCTTTGGGGAGTTCCTTTCTTCTCAGGAGGTGTGGTATGGAGATCAGCAGTCTGTGGACAATGTGCAGATGTTTCCTTGCTGGGGCCAGCTCTGGTCTCGTCTCTACAGACACCGATTCTCCTGGTGTGCCAGACCCTCTTYTGCTCACCAAAGCTGCTGGTGGATGTGRACCAGCTGCCTCCCTTCTTTGTCCRTCCCCTTGTGCATGGYCCTCYCYTTGTGCAGAGGTTTTGGCAAGAAACAGAATTTTAAATGAGAATTCTTGGCTTTAAAATACCCATCACTCTGTACCTAGATAAAATCCCCTTGGATGAAGCACAAGTGACCTGAGCTGTGCCCCGTTCCCCCCAGCAGGATCCGTTGTTACCATGGACAGGAGCACAGTCCTGCATGGCCTCTGTGACCCTGGCCCTGCCCAGCAGCAAKGGGCAGCAGTGCAAGTGCAATTACACAACTGCACATTTCAGCATGGTGTTGGARTTGTGATTTCTGCTTGCTGTCCTCCTTCTGAGATGAAAACAGCCCAGCTGCTGACCCAGTGGCTGGATTAAGTCCCTGAGTTCTCTGTTTTTCGTTTCCATGTGGATCGTGGTAGTTTACAGCTCGTCACCCCTTGCCTTGCAGGTTTGCTGGATGGACATAGAGCACAATTCCTGCTTGGTCATTGCCAGCAGGTCCAGCAGTCATCACTGGCACCGTCCCAGTTAGAATCTGCACCAGACCTCCTCTGGGGCAGCTTCTCTCAGCTGCCAAACCCCCAGGGGAGACTCTGTCCTAATCCTGATCACCAATTACCCAGCTGGGTTCATTCTTGACCAAGATCTATGGCCCCAGATAGGCCAAAGGYACATAGCAGGACTTTTTGAGAAGTGTTTTCTAAGATGTAGTTCTGGAAAATGAAAAGTCCCTAGGGAAGCAGAGAGCCTCAAGTGATCCTGATTTATTTCCCCTGGGCTTTTCTGTTTTCTTTTCTTAGTTTTTAAATCAAACAGGTTTYCCGCTACCTTCATCCCTGTGGGGTAAACCCAACTCATAATAAAGTAGGAAAATAATCAAGCTGCCTTCATTCCAAATCATTTATCAGCACTGAAAGGGTTTTTTGCAGATCAGGCTGCCTTCTCCCTGGTTGCTTATTGATAATGCTGCTCTGAAGCACACTGAAGAAAGTACTTTCAGCTTCTTAGAGGCTGCTGGGAAGAAAATTTTCCATTTTATTTTAGAAAACACAATCKTTTAGTTTTCAAACTGAGAGAAAAGGGCTCTGGAGCTCTGCTTACTGACTGGCACACACAGGTAACAGCAATCTGAATGTCTGTAATGTTTGTATCTGATGCCTTCAAAGCACTCAGCAGAAATAAGTGTTGTTTGCAGGAGGACAGAGGATAAGAAACTAAGATGCCAAACACTTGTGGGGTGGTACAGAGCTGTTCTTCAAGGTATGGAAATGAGAGCATCCTCTACAGAATTTTAAAAGAATGGGAGCTGYAACGAAGCAAAGGGAGGATTTTACCTGCTCAATATGCATGTGTATACACACAGTGACACATAAATGCGAGGTTTGTTTAGCTTTTAAGGTTTTGGCAGTGAATTTTTGGACTCACTGGGTTTGATCTACAGATCATTGAACCCCAGATTTGTCGTCTTCTGCTGGTTTCAGGATTCCAAATGACATTGGCTGCTGCTGCTTYCCTGTGTGTATAATCTGTTAGTGTGACAGAATCACTGTGGTGAGCTGTACACGGTTTAAGGAGCATGTAAGAGC